CGAAGCACGACCTGGGCGTCGCCATGAGCGAACTGAGCGGTAAGCGTGGCGGGAATTCGCTGTGTGGTCAATTGGAGCTGTCGCGCAACCTGACGCGAGATCACACTGATCTCAGCACCCGAGTCAAGCAAAGCCAGGATCTCGGAAGTAGCAGCTGGCACCGGAGAGGTGAGTGGTACAATGGGCAGATAGAGAAGCGATCCTGAAGACGCCCCGTGCTCCTGAGAGCCAAGGGAGTGGAGTGCAATCGGATGCAAGTGTACCTCGAGAGCGTCACCGTCCAGAGGCACTTCATCTTCCAGTTCTTCAGCAAAATGCACCTGAGGACGGCGCTTAGGCGTCTTCGAGCGAGCAGCAATCTTGTTAGCTGCAACGGACGGAGCAGCCTTGCGGTCGTCGGAAGTCTGAACAGCGCCAAGCAGAGGCGGAGAGGAGGAGTCGGACGACTGCTCACGTTCAGGACTCTGACTGCGGCGGGTACGACGACACTCGGAAGATCGATGTCCGAGTTTGCCACAGTTGTAACAACGGATGGCATTGGTCGATGTGTTTGGGGACGAGGAGTCTCCCGCACTCTTGGCGTCCGGCCGAGCAGCACGGCGCTCTTTGAAGGCCGAAGCCTTGCCAGAAGGACGACTCTTGCGATCATTAGAATTAGAGGAGCGATTGCCCACCTGCACGGAGTAGAGCTGCCGGTGGGGATCTGCTCCCGTCGAATGGTCTTTGGTTCTGGTCTGATTGTCGATCTTGAGCGCGTACTCCCTGAGCTGACGGAAGTCAACATCATCCGAACGCTGTAGAGTCACCCACTGATTCAAGAGTAGAGCAGTCATATGCGATCGGACACCATTAATGAACCGTTTGCAGACCAGTGAGGACGTCGCAAATAATTTACCATCCGGAAGGAGCTGAAGTTGCTCGATTAAGGTCAGGGTTCGGGCAGCATACGAAGCAAGAGATTCCTGACGGTCTTGATTCAAATTGTCGAGTTGGTGAATGAGATTCGACAGCAGGTGAGGAGGCAGGAATTTTTCACGAATTTCCTCTGAAAATGTATCCCACTCCATGCGGCGAAAGGTCTCTGGCGGGTACTTGGCCACGAAGTGTTGGCGCACTGGAGCATCCAGTAAATCGAGGGTATGGACAACCCAGTTGGCTCGGGGGATACCATACACAGCAAAGGAGTACTGAATGGTTTGAACCCATGTCAAGACATTGTTGGCGCTAGTTTGGCGGGCAGTATCCAACTTGGGGAGATTGCGCAACTTAGCAAGCAATTGCTGATCAGCCAGAGAGACCAGCTGAGGACCGTCACGCGAGGAGATGGGGGGCGGTCCAGGCTTGAGAGCGGCGGGCGGGACCGCCTCAGAAGAAGCAGGAGCTTCGAGAGCGTTCAACCGCTGCTGAACCTCCAGCAGCGCGGCAGACATGTTTTGGAGCGACCGATCCTCGGTCGATTCGGGACGAAGATCGTCGTCAATGCCGGCAGCAGATTGCCAGTCATGTTCCAAAGTATCCGTAGCATTCTCGTCCAGCATGCGAGCTGCGAGTCGAGTATTGTATCCGGACATCTACGCGACGTAAGCGTAGGAAGAAGCAGAAGAACAGTGGAGAAAGGGAGGGGAAGAGAGAAGACTCGATCTCTATCACCGAACCAACCTTCGCTACCAATTTTATGTCACACCTCGAAGATTCTCGAGTGGACCTTCAAGCGCAGTTCAATAAGAACTCACGTTGGATTTCTCTACTAAGAGGGAAAGCGGTGAAACAGAAGGAGATCTAACTCTCTTTTATTTCTTTCACACACACACACAAAACAAGACAAGACGATACACACAAAGACGTCTCAACAATCGTGGCACACACACGAAAGGGGAAGAGGACCACCTAGCTCTGACGAGTTTCATCCTTTTATAGCTTCGAGGAATGAGCCAGGGGTGCCGTCTCTTGGCTACAGAAAGGAGGGGTGTCCTGTTCTTGGAAGTTGACAAGCATCCCTTCTGACCTTCGAGAGGATACCATGCTCTCTCGCAGGGAAGAGAACCCCGTCCTTGCATGGCAGCAAGCTGCTTCCAACGGGTCGTACTGCACAAGACGCACCCCTTCTGTTTACCTTGTAAGTCCCCCACGGGTACACGGTTGCTGCAACAAAGGCCTCCACAGGGGTCCTTTCAGCAGCTTCACACTGGAGTAGAGTATCCTGGGTCATCCAGGAGAAGTCAGCTTCGAACACGAGTACGAGACAGCCAACTGTCCTTTCATCCTGATAGGCCTTTGTCTGACTCGGGCTCGGTTCCTATGAGCTCTGACAGACGTTCGAATTTGACCCCTGAGTTCCTCACTGTCACCGATGCGTTCGTCTTGCTGACGCCCAACATGATCCGCCTCTTCGCCATCTGCTGCGCCATCTCTAGTTTCTCCTGCTCCTTTTGATTCCGCGAGGAGCGAGAGCTGGCCGTAGAAACCTCACAGGGCAAGATGTTGCCGATGCTGCGGCCTGATGAATGCATTTGTTTCTATGCCAGCCCAAAGTCCACAAGCAAGTACTTCTTATTCCTTCTGTCGTAGAGCCTCCGAGGAAGTTATTCAATTTCACGTCTCGATGTATAATAAATGTATAATGTATAAGACAGTTCTTGCTCAAGACCGAGTTTAATGCACACTGTGACACGAAACCACTGAGAATTGAGGCCGCTCAGCACCGTCTGCACATGAGACGTGACTCCCGACTGTCACAGTGGTATGCTAGAATATGAAACTCAAGCATCATCATGATTGCAACGCCGCCGCTGTTCATCACACGGACGGCCCACTGCCCGGTACCGCCGGGCATTGCCGCCGCGTGGGGCCGCCGCCTGGCTCGGAACTTGACTCTCACCCGGGTGACCGTTCAACCCGGTGACCGTTCAACGGTTGACTCACCGGTAGCCTTGAAGCCTGGGACCGGTCCGCCGGAGAGTCCGGCTCGCCCGGCCGCGGCCGTCGGACCTTGAGTTTTCAGTGTTCAATCATAACTGATGGCAGCGGGGCTATCTGATCGGACTGGCCGCACTGCGGCATGGCTGGCATGCTGATCCCCGGCATTAAGAGTCGGCAGTGCCGACGGTGACCGTGTCACGCGCCGGGCTGCGGCCGCGCCGGACTCGACTCGGAGGCTCGGAGCCCGCGTCCGACTCGGAGGCTGGCCTGCCTGGCATTGCCGCGCCCTGAGCCCCGGGCGGCGCTGACTCATGGCATGCCGGAACTTGGAACACTCAGTGCGCCCGAAATGATTCAGGGCCACAAAAAATATTTGGAACAACTTGAAAATTGAGGGGTTGTTCGGCCTGAAATCTTTGTGTGTCACGCAAGCAAGTCCAACCTACATGGAACAACGTGAAAATTGAGGGTGTTCGGCCTGAAATCTTTGTGTGTCACGCTCCTCCAAGTTTCAAGTTGTTCCATATAGTTTGGAGCAAGTCCAACCTACATGGAACAACGTGAAAATTGAGGGGGTGTTCGGCCTGAAATCTTTGTGTGTCACGCTCCTCCGGCCTGAAATCTTTGTGTGTCACGCTCCTCCAAGTTTCAAGTTGTTCCATATAGTTTGGAGCAAGTCCAACCTACATGGAACAACTTGAAAATTGAGGGGATGTTCGGCCTGAAATCTTTGTGTGTCACGCTCCTCCGGCCTGAAATCTTTGTGTGTCACGCTCCCCGGCATCGCAAGTCAGCTTTGATGGCCATTATGGCCTTCACAGGCGTGGCTGGCCCTCCGAAGCTCAATCATGATGCATCGCCAATACGATATCAAATATCAAAATAAAAATATCAATGTTGAAAGTTTCCCGCCACTGTGAACTCTGCGAAGCCGTACAGATATGAGGATGTGCAGCGTTTGACAGAGCAAGACAAGTCAGGTGAGCATTTATCTCTTTTTTTTTCATCGAAATTATCACGGGAAGAGATCCAAATGACGTGTTCTTGATGCAGGTTGGAATGATTTGCAGCCTTTGGCAACTTGTATGAGATTGATGAACGGGTGAAGACTTTGGCAAGTGCCCAACCAATATTACAAACCGGTATCCAGGAGTACGTAGACGTACCAGTAAGCCGCCCAGCATACAAAACTCTCGAGACAATGGCTGCATACGAAGGGGTTTTCGACACATCGCAGAACTGTCCCGATGTGAAAAGGTTGTGACATGAAATGGGCACAAACAAAGATAAGTTCAGGACTCGGGAGTCGATCAGGTCTAGGCAAAATATTGACATGGTCATCTCACTGCATGGAAGAACATGCAAAACTGAAGGAAAAGCTCAACAGAAAGTTCTAAATGAACATCTACAGCGCATTTTAGCAGTCACGGTCGGAGCAGGTTGATGCTTGAAACAAAGATGATCCTCAGTACAATCGAATGATGACAAGTAAGTCCCGTGGTTCGTGAAGGATTCTTCATCCAATTCTTAAGGATGTGTTGGAACGATGAAACATTTTGCAAATCACCAATTTCATCACACTGACTGATGCATCATGTAAATATTACTGGTGTGAACTTGCATCAGATTCTGTTCATCGGATGAACCGCTACCAAGCAGTTGATGTCACAGCAAACAAGAGAGCCGTTTTGAAGATGCTGATATTCCTGACCGTAGAGCATTCAAGATGTGGCCACATGTCACATGCTTCTTGGTTAACGCAGATACACCCTCGCCAGGCAAAAGATGGAACGTCTTCAGGATTACAGGGAGGTCGGTTGTGCTTGTACCCTGATTGTAACTCTTCTAATAAAGATATGATAACCTGAATGTGCAATTCTGTTTGTTGATTCACAGTGTTTGCGACTCGATTGCAATCATCGAGTGCTTGCTCTGTTGAACAAGGCACTCCTCTGTAGAGCCATGCGACAAGAACACTACAGTTGCACGGTAGCATTGCGACACCAAGACAGGATTGATCCGATGAACGTCTCATTTATTGATACGCAAAGGCGTCATCTGCACATTGTTTCATTTCTGACTAGGTTTCTGTGCAATCGAAATCCTTGTGAAAATATCATGAACGAGGAAAAATTTGAAGCGAAACGGAAAAATCATCGAAATATGATCATGGATATAGTGATTCATGATCAACAACGGTTCTCTACAGTCATCTATGCGGGCAGGAACAGTCATCTTCTGTGCAAACGTCTCTTCATGTATCGTTGAACGGTTGAGTGCATGTAAGACTTGCCTCCATAGAAAGGTGAAGTGCATGAATCCTGACTGTAAGACTAGAAGAATTGAAAGCAAGTGATGACATGAGAACACATATCTAGACAGAAAAGTCGCTCAAGGTACAGCTGGATACAAATTTCTCACAAATCACAGTCATGCATTTGAGCGCAACGTGCAACCTACGGCAATTTGAATAAAGGGTCAATCAGAGTTGATTCTGTTCAATGGTGTATCGATTATCAATTCCTTACCTGATCATAAAAATTTCATCTTGTCTTCGAAGAATATTTGCAAGTACACCCGCGGATTGTTTGAACCTAGGGTGCATATTCCATTGCAGGATGGATGATTCAAAACCTTGGCCCAACCTGTAGAGTTGAGAAAGAAGCTCGATCATCTCTTACAGGTATGATATGAGATCTTCATCTCATTTCTATCTCAGTTGGGTTGGATTCGAAGTCTCTCAATATCAAGGTTCATCCTGGTGAGTCAGGAAGGCACCATTTCATCGCTTCTTGCTCGTCCAGGGAGAGGGGGCTTGGGGAATGAGAAATGGGGGTTACCCCCACCCCCTATTGTAGAGTTTCAAACTCGTTCAAAGGTGGGTAGTTGAGGGTGCTCCATACCCACCCCACCACCCAAAATGACTCAAACGGAGGGGTTCTCGGATCCGAAGGAGTCCCGCCTCCATCACCCCCTCTCATTTGAATTGAATGGTTCAGGCCGACCCCACATACAGGCTTGCAGTTTTCTTATGTATGCCCATATGATTTGATCGGACAGGCCCCAGGTTCAAGGGATGAAGCAATCACCAGCATGCTTGAAGATTTTTCATGGGAGTGGGGTTATACTTGTACCGGGTGTGTACAATACATAGGGGAGAAACCCGAATGGTACCAAAAGAGTACCAAAGTCACATGGTTCGGACTGTACTAACTGGTACCAAGAAATTGTACTCAAGAAGACCCTACCCCTGAAAAAGTCCTGCTTGGCTCTTCGTGATTTGAATTCGGAACACGGTCGGAAGACCCACCCCGCCCCCACATGAGGCGTGGTATGCGTGGATTTGAATCTGCCACCCTCACCGCGAAACGTTTTAAAGCTACAAGGTCAATTGAGAAAGGCAACGCTATGAGTGAGGAAGAATGTCCCGCTGGTGGTCCTGCAGCATCTCATAACCCATCTGGCCCAGCTGATGACCCTGAGTGGCTTCAGGCTCCTTTTCAACGAGACCACCTGCGTCTCCAAGCACATACTGCACGAGATCAACACCTTCTTCTTTGTGGTCATGGAGCCTTTCCTGAGCTCGGACGTGAACGAGCAGCTAAGGTTTACGAGGAAGCAGGAGGGTCTGATGTTCTCACTGGGAATCCCTCAGCACATGCAGCTGATCGTGTTGAGAAGGATCATCAGTGAGTTCCAGAACCCGCGCCGCGACAAGGGCGAGTGGTTCGACTTCGATGTCATCCTGAGGGATTGCATGATGGAGCTCATGTTTGCGGACCTCTCGGTGCAGACTCTGGTCTCCTCGTATGTGAGCAACATCACATACGACACGGTCATGTATGTCATGTTCCGGTCTGCGATGCGCCTGTTGCAGGTACCGGATTCGTACTCCCTCCCCTTGTTGGTGAGGGTGGTGAGGGCGGGGGGTGTGCAGAATGTCCCGGAACTGGATGAGGCGGAGAGGGTCGCCATGATCGAGCTGAGGGAGTGGATCAACGGGAGGCTGAAGTTCCTCGTGATGGCCCGCGACCTCTACACCTCGAAACCCCGAGACCAGCCCGATGCACAGCCTTACAGCTACCTGGGGATCAACGAGAACTACACGAATTCAGAGGGGAGGACGGTGTTCATAGCCGACAACTGCCTGTTTGCCGAGGGTGTGGCAGAGGAGGACGATGAGAGCAGCAAGAATATCTGGAACACAATGAGGAACTTTATCGTGATGATACCCGAGTTCCAGAACGCATTCTCCAGCTTCCGCATGCACAAGGATGCGATCACGCCCACCCTTTTGAATCAGCTCTTCAACATGAAGAAGATCAATCGAGAGTGTCTTGACATGCTCTTCGGTATCGACAAGCTGAAGTTCACTCGTATCCTTGAGGCCCTGGGGGTGAACATGTCTCTTGTGCCCCTTTGTTGGAAGAACATGTCCCTGCATTCTGCCTTGAGGGACGAGGGGAATCGAAATTCCAACGTGTTCAATCTTGTCTATGTGGGGAAGAATTCGTGTGTGTTGACTGTCAATATGATCGCCCTGGTGGTGTTGTCTCCCTTCTTCCAACCGGACAACATCAACATCCTACACCAGCTGCAGCAGAGGCATACGACCTGCAAGGCCGTGCAGATGGCGATGGTCCAGAGGGTGCCGAGGGCGTATTGGCCCATGGGGAGCTTCCCGGTCATGCAGGTCGATCACCACGGCAAGTGGCTGAGGTTTGCCATGCCCGCCGCGGAGAAGGTGCCATACCATGTGAGCCTGTTCCCTAGGGATGACAGCATCGACTGGTGCCACAAGGTGCCGAAGCTGAATGGGAGCACCTCACAGCTCTATCCCTTCTACGAAGAGGAGACGGCTGTGTGTGGGAGCGTGGTAGGCATGGTGAAACGCATGAAGGATGGCATGTCCCTCTCCGATGAGAGCACACACATTGACGACTACTTCGAGGTGATCAGGAATATGGGGGAGGAGGTCACGCATAGCTTCTTCAATCTGGACAGCGATAGCAAGGAGCGCTACATATTCTACAACGGAGGGCAGTGGATACTGGTCCTGTTGGGCGGCAGTAAAGACGCGACCGTATCTGTCTTTGACGAGGACGAGACGGGGGAGAACCTCATCCTCATGGAGGACATAACCACTTCGGTGAGTGGCTTGCATGGGGTGTTGATGGGCCTGCATGCCGTCCCCTTCCCTCGTATATTCACGGAGAGGCTGGTCTACGGCGGGCAGGGCTACCGCGGTTACTTCAGGGGCTTGCAGGAGTCCGACTGCATCAGCGACTTTGGGGTGGTGAGAAGGAACAGTGAAGGTACGTGGCTGGACTCCGAGGGTGTCTATTCAGTCGAGTTCTACGACGCGGTGTCGGGGGGACCACGGATTGCGTCTGTCTCGGTCCTGCATATCGCCAAGGTGCTCGTTGGAGAGCTGCAGAGGATGGTGGTCTCGTTCGACTCCTTCCCCAAGGGCAAGCTATTCCTTCCAAGCCGTGAGGAAGACGGGCTGCTCTACGTCTATAACTACCCGTCCATCCGGCCTTCGGTGGCGGTGGGCATGTCCTGCTACTCCAATGGGATCTACGAGGAGGCGCTGGAGACGATGATCTTCCACGTGAGGTACTGGAACCTCTTGCACGAGAAGATAGGGACAGAGACGGACGATGTCATCAACGAGTGTGTCGCCTACTCCTCCATTTGGGAGGTGAATTGATGGAGCTGTCCATAGATAAATATTTATTGTGTCACCTCGGTAGCGTTGAGTAAATGGATAACTGGATCGCCCCGACCTGTGCCCAGGAGAGTGCGTCTCTGATCGAGAAGCCGATGGGCATGTCACTCAAGGGGGTGGTTGATGCGATGGGTAGCGTGCCCGCATCACTCTTTACGTGGAGGTCGAAGCCCCCGCTCTCGGAAGAGCCGAGCTACACATCCCAGCCCTGCATGCAGCAGACAGTGTACGATCTTGAGCAGAACGCCATGGTATCGATGCCATTCTACAGCTCCATCACCTCTTCCGCTGTGATCGGCCCGGACAACCCGGATTACTGATTGAACATGAGGGCCTTGAAGAGCTCTGCCTCGTTGATGGGGTTCTGGCTTACGAAGGTCTCCACGGACTGGATCACTGGGAAGCTGAGCACCGGGAGGATGTGCCTCCAGCAGTCCTTCCAGATGTGCTTGACCTGGTAGGCGCTGACGTACAGCTGCAGGAGGCGGGAGAGGGTCATCTCCTTCATGTTCTTCTGCGAGAGGCCGTCGAGGCACTCGTCCTTGAACTTGGCGAGCTCTAGGAATGCGTGGGACCTGAAGTCGATGTTGCTTATGATGTTGCATATGACGCTGTACTCTGGATTCACCACCGGGTTGTTCACGATCGTGGTTGCGAGGTCCTTGGTCAGGCAGCGGCTGATCCATTCGTGGTGGTTGACCGTCGGCATCGACATGAGGAGATACACGGAGTGCCTCGTCTTCTTGCTGATGGTATTGGGGAATTTCACAAAGTTCATCCATACGTCGAAGGTGTGCATGTTCTGCGCGGAGATCCCTACCTTGCTCTCCGCCTTGATGTCCTTGAGGAAGGAGGTGAGCCTGGGCCTCCCCTGGTAGACCTCGATTTCCTTCTGCTTCATGTGCCTGTCTATCTCCTGCTTGGTAAACATGTAAACCTGGATGTCGCTCTGGAAGGTAGGCGCCACCGTGATGCAGCCGAGTATCGTCACGGCGGCCTCGTTGTACTCCTCCGTGGTGAAGCGCTGGTCCCCGAGCTTGGCCGTGAACTGCAGGCACCGCGTCCGGATGTTCCCCCCTATGATGTCGTCGAGGTACCGCTCCATGGCATGGTATCCGGTGAGCCCCACGATGTTCAGGAGGAGGTACACCTTGATGACGTCCGTGACCCATATCTCGTCCGCCCCTACGAATCCCACCCCCCGCAGCAGGGAGCGGAAGGTGTTGAAGTAGGCCAGCGCCTCTACCTCCGTCTGCACGTCCTCTGTGAAGTGGATGTTGTGCAGGAACGTCAGCCAGCAGCTGGTGTCCCCCAGGCTGTTCTGGTTGCACTCGACGATGTTCTCCTTGGCCCAGCCCCAGTCCACAAAGGGGACGTCGATGCGCTTGGACTTGAAGATGCGCTCGAACACCTCGCTGTGGGTGATGCCCTTCATGTTGCCGCGTCGGATGATGAAGGCGGTTATGGAGGCTATGTGCTCGTAATCCACCCCGATGTCCTTGCATGTCTTGATGTACTGCCCTGTTACCTTGTTGCTGATGAACTTGCCGACGGCCTCCTGCGTGGGCTCGGTGGATACAGGGATGTGCGCCCGCCTCGGGATAGACCCACCTATCCCGACCTTGAGGAGTGCGTTGGACTGAGTGTGGGGTTTCTTGCTGCTCTTGTCGAAGAAGGTGAAGGAGCTCTGCTGTGCACCCACGACCTTGAGGTGCTTCATGTCTCTCAGCGCATTCGTGTTGATGTTGTCTATACCCTTGAGGGTAGCCATTCTTGCTGTGTGTGGGTCTGGTGCATTGTAAATATACAGGTTTTCAATCATGGTGTATTTACGCTAATGTACAGCCCCGGTATTGTCTGTTTTGGCGGGTTTGACGAATTTCACGGGCTCCCTCCTCTGCGTGTCGATGTGCAGCACCCGGCACAGGGTCCAGGGGTCGTGGCCCAGGTTGACGATGCACTCCACCTCGTGGGGGACGTTCTTCGTGAACCACTCGAAGTTCTTTGTCGCGCTCGCCTCGTGCCCTATCCATTGCAGGGACACGAGGCCCTTCATATCCTTGAACATGCCCAGTAGTATCTTGTATCGCTCTAGCGGGTCGCTGTTTGTGACGCTCTCACCCTTGTACATCGCGATATCATAGATCAGGACCCTGGGCTCCATGCCCCTCTCCGTCCTGTCCTCGACAAAGTGGGAGAGGATCATCGTTGACTTGGGAACCCGATGCCCCAGCATAACGCACTCGGACGCAAAGAGTATGCGCCCGTTGATTCCAACATAGGTCCTCTTGCTGTCGTCGACGTAGATCAGAACGGGGACCCTGTGCCTCGGGAGCCAGGTAGCCATCCTCACCTTCCCACACTCATCCGTGCACTCCCTCAGGTTCCGGCACCTCGGGTTGGTGCAGACAGGGTGCGTCCCCCGGTGGAATGCGTGCAGCTCTACGACCGACTCCCTGGTCATCTCCGTGGGCATGCCGAACACGTCGAAGGACTCGCAGACGCACAGATGAACCACCGCCTTGGCCACCATGGGGTCGCACTCCCAAGAGGCCATACAGGCCAGGGCGGCGTTGCCAAACAAAACCAAAAAAGTCCCCATCCTCCCATCTTCGCCCTTTTTATTTTCTGTATTTAAACGATGCATCTATGCCGCCGGGTGAGAACATGAAAGCCTCCTCGCTCATCACTCTCCTGCCTTACCTCATACAATGGGGTTCGATCTTCTTCCAGTACCGATATATGGACAACTTGCTGACTGATGTCGCGGACGTCGCCGTCAGCGTCAACCTGTTCATTTTCAACATGTGCACGGGCAACTACCTCGTGTATGCCAACCATGCGAACCTCGCGCTGGGCGTCTTGAGCATCTCCGTCTGGAGGTCCATGATCTGCGCCCTGCATTGGATGATCATCCCAAAAGATCCCACCGACGAGCTCTATGTGCCGCTGATGCTGCCCATAGAGGCCATGCCTCTCTTCCGGATCCTGTTCATTCACAAGTACCCGGTGTTGACAACCAGCGTGAGCATCGATCTTATACCCCTGTTAGCCCTCATGAGCCTGGAGTTCGTCTCCACTTACCTGACGACCAACGGTATCTGCCAGTGCCATTGGGGAAAACTGAATCTAAGCATGGTAGTGGCGCCTACATTCTTCACGAGATCCTTCAACGTGATGTACTACCTGAACATCATCGGCATTTTCCATGTGATGTACGCGCTTCTATCGTTCATGAGCACCATGTATTTACTTATGGAGGCTGACACGTTGAACCTATACAAACACACGGCCAAACTGGCCCGATTGCAAAGAGAAATAGTACCGTACGTCAAGACCGACCGTGACATGGCGAGGAAGATACTGGACGAAATAGACTCTGTGTCTATGTCCATCTCAAAGAGTGATACCACCATACACGTGTTCATGGTCTTGTACACCCTATCGAGTTTATTTTCGGTGCTGCCGAAATTCCACTTTTCGTACTCCGACGGCGAAAGTTCAACCTGCATGCCGATATACGTAAAAGACAACAGAGTGAATACAAAGACTTTCCACAAGAGGCTGCGCGATGGCTTCAGACCCCTCTTCAAGCTTGCCGTCGTATGCAATACGGCCGGATACGTCACTTGTGGCGTCATCATCGCGGCCTTCTATGTGGTCACTCGCAACTCTGTTATCGCACTCTCATCTATCTACGTACTATGGATGCTCTCTACGCTGCAAACAATGCATATCGGTGACTTCTTCACCTATATCGACCAGCTGTACACGAAGCACCCTGACAAGAATAGGTATTTCCATATCAAAACTGCTGTGACAATGCATAACTGTGCGTTCGTCACCCGGATGTGTTTCACATACCTGGTGATGCCACCGACGTTGTACGTTACGTTTGCCTATTCCTGGTGGTAGTTGGATTTAAGATTAAACCGCGTATCAAGATAATCCGTGCTCTGATGCTCCTGTGTGTATATATTCCATCCTCCCACTTACCGCCCTAGATCATCTCGGATACCCTCCGGCTGCCCGCCCTTAGCATGACTGCGGTGCATGCGACGATGCCGTCGGACAACATCTTCTCGGGCATCAAGCCGGACGACCGGGTGGTGATCGAGAACGTGATCGCCGTGATGAAGTCACTCAACCGCGACCTCTCCTTCTCTGACTTTGAGGTCCGCAGCACCCAGAATGGCTTCGTGCTGATCGCCAAGACATCCTCCCATGTCATGGTGGGGATCGACGATCTTCACACCGCCCTTGCACGTCGGGGGTGCATCCCCCCTCAGCTCTGCAAGCATGAGCTGTCCTACTACCAGGATACCGCTTCGCGAAGTTCTTCACCCTCTCGACGTGGCATGATCTCCGATACAGCAGGTTGCGAACGCTCTCATCATACTGTAGTACCATGCTTAGAAAGCTTTTTGAACTATACGAACCTCTTGCTCGCAGCTTCCTCCGGTCCCCTTGCGCTCTCCCTACGCGCCGCAGAGCAGCATGCCTCTGTCAGGGGCCCCCTAAACCCTAAACCCTAAACCCTAAACCCTAAACCCTAAACCCTAAAGTACCCTCATACAGCATCGGACTTAGGCCGCCGTTGGGTCCGACGGTCGGTCCAGGGTCGGTCCCGGAGTTGCATAAATCAATGCTCTCACGCACTCAGTGACGACACTGAGTTTCGAGCAAGGGGGAGTGAGATTCGAAGATGTGTACGGTAGTACTGGACGTAGACGTACGTACAACACATTGGTATGATGAAAGCATGAGGCTGGTATAAACCGATACACATGTTTACTCATTGCTGTACTATCGCTCACGGTTGCTGGACTATACCCGCATCAGCTAAGAACTATTGTTCCTTGCTCATCTCTCGCCTAAGGATCTGTCTAAAGGGGTTCCCAACCTTGGGAGGTTGGCCCGTTGTCCTATAGGCCCCGTAGGCCTGGTTGCTTCCGTATTAGATGTTTTCAGTGCCCGGCGGCCCGTCCTCCGGGCCGGTCCGGTCTCATGTCCGATCCCGGTTCCCTTGGCTGGCCCCTATCCCGGGCAGCCGTGCTTCTGCTCTGCTCCCTCCTTTGATCATACTTCAGTGGTCTTCCCCGGCCTCAGCCAGTGGAGTTTCCTCCGCCGGCCTTGCGGCATGGGTCGTCCGTGCTTTCAAGTTTACTTGTGTTGCTTCCTCGGCCTCGGCACTCAGCATAAAGTAACTGTTGAACGGTCACGGTAATTTCCACTACCAGTACCCCCCACCGCCTACTCTTAATCTTGAAGAGGTGGGGTACTCGATGCAACCGCTCGATGGGAGGCTGCAGCAAGGGGAGGGGAACGCTTCCAACGCTTCCCGTGGGCCGTTTGGGATGCTTCTTGCATGCTCTGACCCCCATTCGGATGTCTTGAGATGGGATTTCGGGGTCAGATGTGACATTTCTGCACGCTAGCCATGTTTTACTAGGTAGTCGCTGATTTTCTGATGAACGCATGCGCACCCAATTTCTGATCTCGCGATGCAGGCTCATACGTCACCAGGACGCAAGACCAGCAGAAGCTCGTGGTTTTTTGTGAATCTCATGCGAGTTTTGGATGATTCTTTTCCTATGATATCTGAGAGGCTGCGCTGCAGGTTCATATGAATTCATAGGAATTCAAGCCTAGACGGGAGACTGACGGGAGCCAGCCTGGCAAGCAGGAGAGGACGAGAGACTGACAGGAGCCTGGATGGGAGCCAGTCACTAGTAGGAGGCGAGCGGAGATTCTGTGGAGGAAAGAGGCGGGAAGCGGCTCATAGGTTATCTGCATGCTTGTATTGATTCTAAAATTGCTGCTTCAAGGGGAGATGATGCACGGCCCCCAAGCCTTAAAATCACTGTGCATCACCTTGCAGCATAGGCATAGGCAGGTCAACCTAGCTGACTACAACACTACTGACTCCCTGCCGTCGCTTGTCTTAGCTTGCCACCACAGCGTCATGGAATAAGGCTACCTAACTGCCAGCACACTGCTCCCTACAGTAGCCTGCCACCACTGCAGTGTCAGGTCCTTGAAGCCCACCCACCGGATGTGCTGCGAGAGCCAGCCGGTCCTCTTCCTGCTGTTCATCGTCACCGTCACATCCTGTGGCTCGTCGGAAGCTGCAGGCCATCTACCCTGGCGCACAAGGTGCCGCTCTAGAGCTATGTCATAGTCCTCCCCGCTGATGTAACCGAGGGAGCACTTGTCGTCTAGAGCGTCAAGGGACGTCCAGTCGTCAGGGTTGTCCTTTCTTCCCACGATGAACAGATGACGGAAGGACCTGCGGATGGACTTGATGCCGAAGGTCCTGTCACCACTCCTGCACGAGGACGACTTCACCTCCAGCGGCTCTCGGCACAGCGGCAGAGGTTCACCCCGACTCGACCCGCTGACCTGTCTCTGGGGCCCAACTATGATACACCCGTCGCTCTTGCCATGCAGCCCACCTGCCTGTGCAACGTCGATCAGAAGCTGATCGGCAGGGATGCCGATGCTCAAGGCCTTCAGTGCCAAGGGAAGTTTCCCGATCCGCATCTTCTCCTTCAAGCCCTGGACGTAGCTTGCGTTCCCCACAAGGCGAAGCAGATTCGAAGACATCAAGGCTCGCAAGATTAACTCGTCAACCTGACCTTCTCCATCTCGACACCGCGGCTCATGATCTGTGTCCAGGCACTGCAAAGCCCCTGCAGCGCCGTACTGTGAGCTGCCAACAACGTGCACATCCGATGTCATGACATCATCGGCCACTGAATCTGCACCCTCTCCCGCCGCCGGACAAGGCAGGCGAGGCTCCGAAACATCAGGCCGCTTGGCTACAACAGGCGAGTGTAGCATGGATGTCTCCGCTGCCCCCGTCATCTCCGATGTCTCCGCTGCCCCCGTCATCTCCGATTTCTCCGCTGCCCCCGTCATCTCCGATGTCTCCGCTGCCCCCGTCATCTCCGATGTCTCCGCTGCCCCCGTCATCTCCGATGTCTCCGCTGCCCCCGTCATCTCCGATGTCTCCGCTGCCCCCGTCATCTCCGATGTCTCCGCTGCCCCCGTCATCTCCGATGTCTCCGCTGCCCCCGTCATCTCCGATGTCTCCGCTGTGTCACACCTCGAAGATTCTCGAGTGGACCTTCAAGCGCAGTTCAATAAGAACTCACGTTGGATTTCTCTACTAAGAGGGAAAGCGGTGAAACAGAAGGAGATCTAACTCTCTTTTATTTCTTTCACACACACACACAAAACAAGACAAGACGATACACACAAAGACGTCTCAACAATCGTGGCACACACACGAAAGGGGAAGAGGACCACCTAGCTCTGACGAGTTTCATCCTTTTATAGCTTCGAGGAATGAGCCAGGGGTGCCGTCTCTTGGCTACAGAAAGGAGGGGTGTCCTGTTCTTGGAAGTTGACAAGCATCCCTTCTGACCTTCGAGAGGATACCATGCTCTCTCGCAGGGAAGAGAACCCCGTCCTTGCATGGCAGCAAGCTGCTTCCAACGGGTCGTACTGCACAAGACGCACCCCTTCTGTTTACCTTGTAAGTCCCCCACGGGTACACGGTTGCTGCAACAAAGGCCTCCACAGGGGTCCTTTCAGCAGCTTCACACTGGAGTAGAGTATCCTGGGTCATCCAGGAGAAGTCAGCTTCGAACACGAGTACGAGACAGCCAACTGTCCTTTCATCCTGATAGGCCTTTGTCTGACTCGGGCTCGGTTCCTATGAGCTCTGACACGCTCTTCTCTGCGCTTTCTTGGAGTGCTCAGGACTCAGAAAACTTCGCTTTCTCAGCTTGTCAAATCTGTTTTTCCTCTGACACGCTCCAGGCGCAGCACGTAAAATTCCTAATTGAGAGGCGCACGACGCTGCCGCTGCCGCTGTCCATGAGAAGAAGCAGAAGCATCTTGACGCGTGCGATGCTGTTCATATTGCTGAAGCAACTGACGGAGCGCCGGTGTACGCGAGAGATGGGCAACAGGTTCCCAAGTGTCGTCGGCGGAGGAAAATCCCTTCCAACGAACCAGATATTGCTTCGCACCATTACGTTGACGATGATTGATGATGCGAGCCACTTCGTAGAATCCAGGTACAGGTTGGGAAACCACAGGCTGCTGCAAATGATCTTTCCTGCGCACATGGGGGCGTAGGAACTTGGCATTAAAAACATCTTGATCCATGCGAGGGAAGCGCTGGCGAACATCAACTCGATAATTGTTGTTGTTGCAAACCTCGGTGATAGGGAAAGGACCAATGTATCGATCTCGAAATTTGCGAATTTCAAACTGCTGATTGAATAAACGCGCGTCGATCCAGACCAAATCACCAACTTGCCATCGAAGCGGGCGGCGAGAAGGAAGTAGACGCGTCTCTGCTCGATTGGCGATCGAGGCCAAGGTATCTCGCACAAGGTTTTCACCTGCACGTATGTTGTCGACAGTCGTGCGGGCTTGAGGAAGAACCTGATCAAGGGTCAAATCCATAACTGAGCGCGGATTCTTGCCATATTCCACTTGAAAGGCAGATAACCCTGTTTCACGACGGGGGGCATGATTGAGGGCAAACTCAATGAATGGAAGATGGACTGTCCATTCAGATGAACCCTGAGCGAGTTTAGTGCGGAGCATATCCAGAATGGTGGCATTGATCCGTTCAACGCGACCATTGGCCTGGGGATAGTACTTGGAAGAGTGGCGTACCTGAACACCTAGCGTCTGAAATACTGTATCCCAAAAATGCGAGGAGACATTTGGCCCATTATCCGAAAGGATTGCAGCAGGAAGACCACGAGTGCGATAGAAGTATTGGAGAAATAAATCCACAAGTTCCTGGGTCGTAGCAGACTTGTGAGTTGGAGCCAGCGTGACATGTTGCGAGAACGAGTCCAACATGACGAAGAGAGAATCATGACCTTGGGAGGTAGTCGGAAGTCCGCTGAGGAGATCGACGGAGATGACGTCAAATTTGTCAGCAGGAACGTCATGACTCTTGGGCAAACCGATGGGTTTCTGTTTGTAGTTCTTCGCAGCCTGGCAAATGAGGCAGGAATGCACGTAATTTTCGACATCACGCTTCATGTTATTCCAGTAGACTTTGGCAACAAGTGAGAGGTAGGTCTTGTCAGAACCAACATGTCCGGCATCATCGTGTGCAAGGCGTAGTACAGCCGCGCGGATAGCGGTAGGAACACAGATCCTCGTCCTGCCGGTAGAATCAACATAGTAGAGCAAGTCATCCGAAAATTCAAAATGACGACAACCCGGTTGGCCGAGCAATTCGCCGTCTTTGCCCAGTTGGTATAAAACCTGAAAGTCAGGACAGGTGGAGTAGTTTTGCATCAGTTGGGAGACGAACGAGGAATCCGTAAGCATCTGAACGGTATGAAGACCAACAAGAAGATCCCGAGCAATGTCTTCAGCGCGCATAGCGCGATCATGAGCCTGAGTCAGATCAGCGGGTGATTGGGGAGCGAACGATGGAGCAGGCGAGTCGCCTGAGATCCGACTGAGGGCATCAGCAACGACGTTAGTTTCGCCAGGGATGTGGTGGATCTCCATGTCGTACTGAAGGAAGGTAGACAACCAACGAGCCAGGCGGGGAGAGAGTTCAGACTGGGTGTTCAATCTGATCAAGCTGTGGTGATCGGTACATACACGAAAGCGACGACCAATCAAGTAGTAGGAAAAATGACGGAGACTTTCCTTGAGAGCAAGAAGCTCACGCTCATAGGTGGAGTAATTGCGTTCGGCGGAGGAGAGTTTCTTGCCATAAAATGCAACGGGATGTTCCTCGTTGTTTTCATCGATCTGATGAAGCGCGGCTCCAATGGCCAGGTCGCTAGCGTCTGTGTACAGGATGGTCAGCCGATCAGAACGGAAGTGAGCCAAGACTGGAGCCTGCGTAAGAGCTGTCTTGAGCGCGGCAAAAGCAGTCTCAGCAGACCGAGTCCACACGAAGCGACGTTGACTGGTTTTCAGCAGATCTGAGAGAGGTGCAGCATAGTTGGCAAAATTCTTGATGAAACGCCGATAAAAATTGGCGAGGCCTAAAAATTGGCGAAGTTGTTTCACAGATGCAGGAGGCGGAAAATCTTCGATGGCAGCAACTTTGCTAGCCTCGGGTGCAATCCCATGCGCATTCAAAGTATATCCGAGAAAACTGATCTGCGTCTGAAGAAACACACACTTGCTCCGTTTAACGAAGACCTGGTGGTGGCGGAGGCGCTCCAGTAGGAGACGCACCTGCTGTAGGTGTGAACGAGGATTACCCATGGAAAAGATTAAGAGATCATCGACGTAGACTAAGACGTTGTTCATACCTGCGAGGATGCCCTGTGAGAACTTCTGGAAGGCAGCTGTGGCCGTTTTCAGACCAAAGGGCAGAGCGCGGAATTGGTAGGATCCTTGTTCAGTAACAAACCCAGTATATTGAGAGCTGTCAGGAGTGAGAGCTAGCTGCCAGAATCCTGAGGCCATATCCAGCTTGCTGAAGTAGAGGGTATCCGTACTGGACACAGTACGCTGCGAGAGCACGCGCCCGATACGTTCCATGAGCTCGGTAGGGACGGGAGGCGGAAAACTGTCGTCGAGGAGGTGATTGTTGACTCCTCGATAATCAATACAAAAACGAAATTGAGGGACTCCTTCAGAGGAAAGACCTTTGCGAACAAAGATGACGGGACTCTGCCACATGACATCATTGTTTCGCTCGATGATGCCGCGTGCCAACAAGAAGTCGATCGTTTTAGCGAGCTCCTCCTGGAGCGTCGCCGGAAGTCGGTAGGGGCGACGACGAATTGGACGAACGTCATCAGGAACCCGAAGGACAACGTCATACTGCCCCCGCGAGACAGGTGGCTGGATTGGTAGTTCGTCCACCAGAACATCGGAAAAATCCTCGAGTAGCTCCTGCAAGGCCGGAGCTGCGAGCGGCGATGCCGACGAGGCGACCTGAGAGACCAATGAACTGGTAGAAACAGGCGAGGACACGGTCGCCATGACCCAGGGCATCATATCCTCAGGTGGAGGAGGCTGAAGCGTGTTCCAGTCCGCATGCCAGGGAAAAATCAAACACTGGGCTTGCCGCATAGCCGCGGAGCCAGGACCAGGGATGTGAAATGCGAGCGGAAGGCGTTGACGCCCCGCAGTACCATCCTGCGCTGGAATAGTAACGAGCTTGGAATGAAAGTCGATATTCATTTTCATCTTGGCAATGAACGGTTGGGACAAAATCGCCGGCAGTGACGCTGGAGAGTCCAAAATGAAGAACGTTTCTTGCGTTTCAACATTGGTGCCTGCAATGCGAAACGGCAGGAGGCAGGTTTCACGAAGCACGACCTGGGCGTCGCCATGAGCGAACTGAGCGGTAAGCGTGGCGGGAATTCGCTGTGTGGTCAATTGGAGCTGTCGCGCAACCTGACGCGAGATCACACTGATCTCAGCACCCGAGTCAAGCAAAGCCAGGATCTCGGAAGTAGCAGCTGGCACCGGAGAGGTGAGTGGTACAATGGGCAGATAGAGAAGCGATCCTGAAGACGCCCCGTGCTCCTGAGAGCCAAGGGAGTGGAGTGCAATCGGATGCAAGTGTACCTCGAGAGCGTCACCGTCCAGAGGCACTTCATCTTCCAGTTCTTCAGCAAAATGCACCTGAGGACGGCGCTTAGGCGTCTTCGAGCGAGCAGCAATCTTGTTAGCTGCAACGGACGGAGCAGCCTTGCGGTCGTCGGAAGTCTGAACAGCGCCAAGCAGAGGCGGAGAGGAGGAGTCGGACGACTGCTCACGTTCAGGACTCTGACTGCGGCGGGTACGACGACACTCGGAAGATCGATGTCCGAGTTTGCCACAGTTGTAACAACGGATGGCATTGGTCGATGTGTTTGGGGACGAGGAGTCTCCCGCACTCTTGGCGTCCGGCCGAGCAGCACGGCGCTCTTTGAAGGCCGAAGCCTTGCCAGAAGGACGACTCTTGCGATCATTAGAATTAGAGGAGCGATTGCCCACCTGCACGGAGTAGAGCTGCCGGTGGGGATCTGCTCCCGTCGAATGGTCTTTGGTTCTGGTCTGATTGTCGATCTTGAGCGCGTACTCCCTGAGCTGACGGAAGTCAACATCATCCGAACGCTGTAGAGTCACCCACTGATTCAAGAGTAGAGCAGTCATATGCGATCGGACACCATTAATGAACCGTTTGCAGACCAGTGAGGACGTCGCAAATAATTTACCATCCGGAAGGAGCTGAAGTTGCTCGATTAAGGTCAGGGTTCGGGCAGCATACGAAGCAAGAGATTCCTGACGGTCTTGATTCAAATTGTCGAGTTGGTGAATGAGATTCGACAGCAGGTGAGGAGGCAGGAATTTTTCACGAATTTCCTCTGAAAATGTATCCCACTCCATGCGGCGAAAGGTCTCTGGCGGGTACTTGGCCACGAAGTGTTGGCGCACTGGAGCATCCAGTAAATCGAGGGTATGGACAACCCAGTTGGCTCGGGGGATACCATACACAGCAAAGGAGTACTGAATGGTTTGAACCCATGTCAAGACATTGTTGGCGCTAGTTTGGCGGGCAGTATCCAACTTGGGGAGATTGCGCAACTTAGCAAGCAATTGCTGATCAGCCAGAGAGACCAGCTGAGGACCGTCACGCGAGGAGATGGGGGGCGGTCCAGGCTTGAGAGCGGCGGGCGGGACCGCCTCAGAAGAAGCAGGAGCTTCGAGAGCGTTCAACCGCTGCTGAACCTCCAGCAGCGCGGCAGACATGTTTTGGAGCGACCGATCCTCGGTCGATTCGGGACGAAGATCGTCGTCAATGCCGGCAGCAGATTGCCAGTCATGTTCCAAAGTATCCGTAGCATTCTCGTCCAGCATGCGAGCTGCGAGTCGAGTATTGTATCCGGACATCTACGCGACGTAAGCGTAGGAAGAAGCAGAAGAACAGTGGAGAAAGGGAGGGGAAGAGAGAAGACTCGATCGCTATCACCGATCACAACCTTGCTACCAATTTTATGTCACACCTCGAAGATTCTCGAGTGGACCTTCAAGCGCAGTTCAATAAGAACTCACGTTGGATTTCTCTACTAAGAGGGAAAGCGGTGAAACAGAAGGAGATCTAACTCTCTTTTATTTCTTTCACACACACACACAAAACAAGACAAGACGATACACACAAAGACGTCTCAACAATCGTGGCACACACACGAAAGGGGAAGAGGACCACCTAGCTCTGACGAGTTTCATCCTTTTATAGCTTCGAGGAATGAGCCAGGGGTGCCGTCTCTTGGCTACAGAAAGGAGGGGTGTCCTGTTCTTGGAAGTTGACAAGCATCCCTTCTGACCTTCGAGAGGATACCATGCTCTCTCGCAGGGAAGAGAACCCCGTCCTTGCATGGCAGCAAGCTGCTTCCAACGGGTCGTACTGCACAAGACGCACCCCTTCTGTTTACCTTGTAAGTCCCCCACGGGTACACGGTTGCTGCAACAAAGGCCTCCACAGGGGTCCTTTCAGCAGCTTCACACTGGAGTAGAGTATCCTGGGTCATCCAGGAGAAGTCAGCTTCGAACACGAGTACGAGACAGCCAACTGTCCTTTCATCCTGATAGGCCTTTGTCTGACTCGGGCTCGGTTCCTATGAGCTCTGACACGCTGCCCCCGTCATCTCCGATGTCTCCGCTGCCCCCGTCATCTCCGATGTCTCCGCTGCCCCCGTCATCTCCGATGTCTCCGCTGCCCCCGTCAAATCCGATGTCTCCGCTGCCCCCGTCATCTCCGATGTCTCCGCTGTCTCCGCTGATGGACAGCAAGGCGGCTGGCAACATCCGCATGATGGACTCGCAGGCCAAACCATCCCAGGGAGCAGGAATGTGTGTGTAGGAAGAAAGTGACCAAGGCATGAGGAAGGAGAGGACGAAGAGCCGGGGAAGGAGGAAGGAGAGGCATGGCAATGGAAGGAGGAGCCGGGGCAAGAGCAAGAGGAAGAAGGAGCATGGTGATGGAAGGAGGAGCCGGGGCAAGAGCAAGAGGAAGAAGGAGCATGGCGATGGAAGGAGGAGCCGGGGCAAGAGCAAGAGGAAGAAGGAGCATGGCGATGGAAGGAGGAGCCGGGGCAAGAGCAAGAGGAAGAAGGAGCATGGCGATGGAAGGAGGACAGGTGTGGGGGGGAGCAGCCGGGACAAGAGGGGGGGGGGCAGCCGGGACAAGAGGGGGGGAAGCAGCCGGGACAAGAGGAAGGAGGGGGGGGATGGGAGGAAGTTGAAGAGCAGGTTGGGAGACCCAAGGAGCAGGAACAAGACACAACAGGCGCTGATATCGCGTGATTCAAAAGCATTTTCGCTTTCCAGAGTCTTCGAGTTGGCTGGGGCAAGTTAAAATAAACTTCAAAAAAGTGAGGTTCAATATCTTCTTCAATATACACACCAATCTTTGAAAGATTGATCAATATAATTCAATATCTCCCTTAAGATTGAAAAATTGTCCACCCTACCCGTACGAAAAAAAACCTTCCGTCGAGTGTGGTGGAGGTTGAGGTGAAGGGGGGGACAAGGAGCTGGTGGGTAGGGGCATATGCGTTTGAGACTAGGAAGAGATATAGAGAATATCGATGATAGGCTAGTAAAGTCTCCCCTTTACTACTAATTTTAGTGGGGTCGCTTGGGAAAACATGCCGGAACTGCGTTCCTCTCATCCTTGATTTCAAAATCTTCTTCAATATACGCACGAATTTTGAAAGATTGATAAATATATTCAATACTTTCCTTAATTGAAAGGTTGTGCACCCTACCCGTGCGAAAAAAACCTTTGTCGAGCCAGTCGAGATGTCAACATTTAAATGGGGGTGGGTGGTGGAGGTAAAGGTGGAGCCCTGGCAAAAAAACCTTTGTCCTTGCTCACCCTACCCGAGCACCTGTGCAACGTTTGGTTGTACCACCTCAAACACCTTCGCTCTCTCACCCTCGTTGAATGCTACTAGTGTCTCACTTATAAAATCGAATCGTTCTCACCGGCATGATTCGAGTCCCCTGCCTCCCTCCTTCATTCGACTACCCCTACCCGCTATTTGCCTACATCCCCAAATCTCCACCTACCCCACCCTCTGTTCTCAACCTCCGCAATGCCGTACAACTGCCCTAATTGCCAGGCAAGGAGCAGCTGCGATGAGATGCTGTTACCTTGAGTGACATGCTTGATGATGAAGATGTTTCCTTTGCTCCCCCGCATCTGATCCTTCCATCATTCAACTCCTTTCTTGGCGGCTCCTTCACTTCCTCCTAACACTTTTTTTTGACCTTCTGACTTGTGTGTCTCCAGATCGTGGTCGATCCTAATACCAACGACAGCACAAAATGCGTAATTTGAATAGCTTCCAGTAGGCGTCACCTGACTTTGAGTGTTTTACGTTCTGCCGTGAATTGCCATGTTGTTATTCGGAAGGCGGTAAGCATCAGTCTGTGCAGCATATGCTCAGGGGACGATAGGGACTGACATGTGGTTTTGCAATTTTGTGGGTTTATCATCGGATTGAATACGAATGGGGCTGGATAGGTGGTAAGTAACAATCGTCAAATGTGCGCTCAGGGAACGATTGAATTAACATTCTACAACAGGCTACTTTTCAAGCTGGAGCCGAAGGAAAGTGCAAAATCTGCTCGAAGCTTGAAAAAGATCATTATGGATCTTCCAAGTTCTGTTATGTAAGGAACCGCTCATTCAGGGAACGATTGGCTGACATGTTTTTGAAAATTTATCGCTTGTTGCTTGGATTGACTGTCGATGATGCTGGATAGACGGTAAGTGACGCTCATGAAATATGCGCTCAGGGGATGATTGGACTGACATGTATTTTGCAAATTCCTGGTTTTTCCTTGCTTGCATGGATTACATTCGTCTTCGTAGGATGTAAGTGTCATATGATATGATGCGGTCAGGGGATGAATGGACTGACAATTTATGTCTTTTTTTGCGGTTTCACATTGTATGGGTTGTCGATTTGTCCGGTCAGCCGGTAAGCGATGATTATGAAAGATGCGGTCAGTGGATGACTGGGCTGACATTTTGTGTGTTTTGGATTTTTCATCGGATGGGATGTTGATTTGTATGGACAGTCGGTAAGTGATGATTATGAAAGCTGCGGTCAGGGGATGATTGGACTGACATGTATTTTGAAAATCTTATCGCTTTTTTGCTTGGATGGATGGAATGTTGCTGGACAGGTGGTAAGTGACGAATATTCAAGATGCACTCAGGGAATGATTGGACTGACGTTTGCTTTGCAATTCCTGGATTTTCCTTGCTTACATGGATTGAATTCGTCTTTGTAGCGCGTAAGTGTCATATCATATGATGCGGTCAACGATTGGCTGACATTTATTTTTGCACATTCCTGGTTTTTCCTGCTTGCATGGATTAAATTCGTCTTCATAGAATGTAAGTGTCATATCATATGATGCGCTCAGAGAATGATTTGACTGACATGTATTTTGCCATTCGGGTCTTTGCTGGCATGCTCTGGGTTGCGGCTGTTTTGTTCTAGTGCTGCGTTTGCTACTTCGACGATGAACCTGAAGATAAAAGGCAAAAACGCATGTGCCAGCACTGCAAGGATCGACGTTCCTGCGTGCACAACCTTGAGCAAGATCTTGTATCGTCAAGACCCAGTAGGCAGGACGCCATCGCCAAGATCGAGAAGGTCCGCGAGCACGTCAACAACGTGGGGAAGCCATTTGCCGAGAGACTGGACCTAGTCAAGTGCCACTACATCTTCGGGATACAAGAGATAGATACCTCTGCTGTCGAAGAAGTGAAGCAGCTCCTGTCGGGCGGGGAGCTCGGGAGCTGCTACAACAGCGAGGAAGGCACGCTCAACATGTCTTTGCGGACAGATAGGGTGAAACGATATGTGATACGAGATCTGAGGATGAAGAGCCTGCCTCGCTGGATCTCCAAGCTCGGCGTCGATTTTAAAGTCATCGACGTGTCCGGTAACCCCAGCCTCTCCCGCCTTCCCTTGGACGAGCTCTGCAGCATGGAGTCTAGCCTGCAGGAGGTCAAGTGTGAGAGCTGCGTCAGCCTGCAGCTGCCTCCCCCTGAGATCGCCAGTCAGGGAGGGGCAGCTGCTTTCACGTACCTGCAGAGTGTCAAGAGAGACAGCGAGGCGAACAAGCGGATCAACCTCATCCTCATAGGCAACGGAGAGGCAGGCAAGACGAGCGTGCTGAGAGCTCTGAGGTCAGACAAGGACAAGGCGGACAAGATCGAGGTAGACAGGAGGACGATCGGGATAGACCTGCACGAGTGGGAGCCTAAGGACGCTGACGGGCTGACGTTTGACGTGATGGACTTCGGGGGGCAGCAGATCTACGCCAAGACGAACCAGTACTTCATCGTGAGGCGGGCCTTGTACCTGCTGGTGTGGAGCGTGAGGGTGAAGCGAGAGAAGCAGAGCAACGAGGATGGAGGGGGAGGCATAGAGGAGCTGAAGAAGATGATCTCTACATGGCTGCGAGCTACGCAAGCGCGAGTGCCGGGAGCGAGCGTGTTACTCGTAGTAACGCACATCGATCTTGCCGGGGAGAGCGAGGTGACGGATCAGTGTGAGGAGGTGAAGGCATGTGTGGAAGAGGAGCTGAAGAAGATGGCAGAGGAGGAAGACGAGAACATCCTGCCGTTGCACGTTATCAATGATGGCGAGAGCTTCAGAGTGAACTGCTTAAAGGGAGACGGAATCAGGGAGCTACGAAACTCTGTGTGCATGGCGGCGAAGAAGCTGCTGTGGTGGAAAGAGAGCATACCTGGACCCTATCTGAGACTGAGAAAGGCGGTAGAGGAGCAGTCAAAGGGAGTGCCTTATGTGAAGGTAGCGAGGTACCGGGAGATGTTGAAGGAGGCGAGAGTCGATGAGAGAGAAGAGAAGGTAGTGACCAGCTTCTTGCACGACATGGGAGTGCTCAAGTATTTCGGTCATGGGCTGAGTGCGAATCAAAGCATGGAAGACCAAGACATGTACTCCGTGGAAGACACGGTCTTCATCGATCCCGTGTGGATGATCGACGTGTTCAAGGGGGTGATGCGACATGACTGGCAGCATCTCCTCGACTTCTTCCAGCAGGACCCGACCAAGTCCAAGAAGACGAAGAAGCTGCTCCACCTTGGCATCATAGACGAAGACGTGTTCGAGTACTTGTGGCCCCAGCAAGGCAGCAAGTTCTGGCTCGAAGAGAAGACAGAGAAGGTGTCAAGATCAGCAGAGGTAGGCTTCATCAAGAGCCATGTGGAGGTGCAGGAGGCGGTGGCTCTGCTGCGAGGCTGCGACCTCGCGCACTTCCTGGGCGCGGGGGGAGTGGTTGATACGGCTGACAAGCAGGGCCAGCGGGAGCTGCTGTGTCCCGGCATCATCCCGTCGTTTACACATCAGCACAAGCGAGCGGAGACGGACTCGCAGTCTCTGTGCGCGCATCTGGAGCGCGAGTACAACATCTTCCCCGCAGGCTTCATGGACAGGCTGATCGTGCTGTGCGCTGCTCGACACTTTGAGGTAGACTGCAGCGGTACGATGGCGGTGATGAAGGGCTGGGGCCGGACGCTGCTGGTGAGCTGGAATGGAGAAGCAGACACGCACGTGCTGATAGCTAACGCGTCGACGAAGCAGCAGATCAGGAACCTTGAAAAAGATCTGAAGAAACTGGAGACTTTCTTCCCTGGGATGAAGTGTAGGAGAAGTCAGGAGAAGAGCTCAGGCAAGGAGACAGTGCAGGTAGGGATCTTCACCTATGGACAGAAGTCAAGAGATTGTGCGGAGGACATTCGACGAGATATGATGAACAAGTACTCCGCGAAGAAACTTCCTCTAGAACTCACTTGTGAGGTTTGTGGGTGTGACCAGCCAACGACGCTTTCCATGGATGATTGCCTCGTGAACATCTTGTGTATCTCGACAGAATGTCTTGATGAGCATGAGAAAATGCCTCCAGAAAGTAACTTTTGCAAGCTATGGAACAGTTTGACAGCGAACAAAGGAGTTATCATCCCCGTCGTACTCGAGGATTACTATGTTGAGTGTATCGAGAAGCCAAACAAGTTCGATCAATGGTGGCCGCAGGGTGTACAGAAGATGGAGCGATACAAGATCTTCCATCAGTACAAGAAGGAGGACGGTTCGAAGCAAACCTTGTACGACAGCATTATCAAGAAGCTTCATCAGGGACGAGGAAGCTTCCAAGACTTGTTGGACGTTACTAGTCAGAACGAGCTTCTTGTGTGCGAAGCTTGCTTGCATGATAGGTCTGAGTCTCCACCTGCCTCACAAGGTGATCGAGCCGTGGGTACGTTTGATCTGTCCGAGATCAAGGTAGCGCTAGATCAAGAAAGCAAGGTTATGACAGACATGCAGCAAGAGCTGGAGCAAGAAGATGTCATCAAACAAAAGATCATGATCAAAGCAATCACTTGTACAAGGGGTCATCAAACAACCGTGAAGGACGTGCTGGCGTTCAATGGCTCGAGCTCTCCGTGTCCGTCTTGCTTGAAGGAGAAGAGAGTCCCGCACTTCTTCAGCCGACCCAAGTGCTTGAGCATGCTCGCTCGCAACCTGATGGCTAAGATTCACTGTGACGGATGTCAAAGCGAGGTGGACGTGCTGGACGTCACGCCGCCGCAGGTGTTCTTGAGCTACAACTGGGGGCACGACAACTCAACGCAGAAGATGGTGAGGGAGGTGAAGCGGCGGATCGAGGAGCAGACGAGCCTGCAGTGCTGGTTCGACGTGGAGGGAGGGATCAACCCCGGGGAAGATCATGTGCAGAAGATGGAGCTCGGGGTGTCTCGATGCGAGGTGGTTGTGGTCTTTATGAGCGACAAGTACGTCAAGAGCGCCAACTGCAGGAGGGAGTTTGCTCGGGCGTGTAAGACAAAGAAGTACATCATCCCTGTGCTGGTGCCGGTGCTGTATGAAGCAGGTCAAGACTCAGACAAGTTAGAGTCAGAGTCAGGCTGGAAGGGCGACAAGATGGACGAGGACTGGTGGAAGAGAATCGAGGGAGTTGAGAAGCAGCCCGGAGGAGCTGCGCATACTGTCAAGGTGGACTGGAGCTATCTGACGTCATTCCCCAAGCCCTTCAAGCTAGGAAAGGGGCAGCAACAACTCTTGGAAGATGGTTCGGCATTGACCAAGACCGTCGAGCTTCACAAAGTTGAGAGGCTACAGCAGCATCAGCACCAGGACCAGGAAGGCAAAGAGGAAGCTAGTTCGGTTGTGTCAGCCTCCGGGCTCGAGAAGCTGGTTGCTGCAGTGCAGGCAAGAGTTTACCGGGGAGGAGTCTTGTTTCACGAGGTTCCCTGCCTCATTGTGATTGACATGGAGTTGACATGCGTGGAGCAGGTGGAGCACCCGTTTCTCAGGTTGTTACACCAGCAGAGGGATATGCTTGACAGAATACTCGCTCGTATCAAGTTGCTGCAAGAAAAGAAATGATTCGTTGTCATCATGCTTGTGACACAAGAGTGTTGGTGACAAGACTTGGAAAGATTCTACAAACAATAAGTAGGAACCGAGCCATTCCTTCCTTCCTCACACGACGCTTGTCCTCTTTCCTTTCCTGTGTCCGGTCCTCCCCTCCCGTCTCATCCGATCCCCTGAAAGATGATTCGATATGAGAACACATTGAGAAAGACGCGTGACCCTTTCTCCACCTAAGTTTCTCTCGATTCGATCTTCTCTTGCTTTTCCAACTCTTGTTGTGTGAGTTACTCTGACTCTTGTGTTTCTTGGAAACACTGTCCTCGACTTAGCGACTGCGAGGAGCTCTCTAGCGACCGTGAGTAGTAGATGTTTTCAGAGCTCTCTCGACAGTGAGTAGTAGATGTTTTCAGAGCTCTCTCTCAACAGTGTGTATAGTAGATGTTTTCAGAGCTCTCTCTCGACAGTGAGTAGTAGATGTTTTCAGAGCTCTCTCTCGACAGTGTGTAGTAGATGTTTTCAGAGCTCTCTCTCGACAGTGTGTAGTAGATGTTTTCAGAGCTCTCTCTCGACAGCCTGGCAGTGTGTAGTAGATGTTTTCAGAGCTCTCTCTCGACAGCCTGGCAGTGTGTAGTAGATGTTTTCAGTGTTTTTTGTCCTCCGGGCCCCCGTCAAGGCAAGTCCGTGAGCCCGGTTCCTCAACCAGTCACGGTACAAATATCTGTTCCAGTTGACTAAAAATAGGTCAGGAAACTCAATGCCCCCTAAGCAATTTCGATAGGCAAGAGGCTCTACGTCAGAGTCTCTATTCTCATAGCAATCGCTCTAAGCTCAGACCCCAAGGGTGCTACCTCTATCATCACAGATCATCTATGAGCTCATTCGAAGGACAAAAAGGGGGGTAGGGTCATTACTTGAGTAATAAATGATGATTCTTCTTTGGTAGTTGCGCTGTTTTCCATTGGGGCGGCATTATGAGCGAAGGCATGTGGGGCAAGGCATGCTTGCAATGCCGAAGAAAGGTAACCTATGGCAACAAGCACCACCATCTGCCCACCACATGCATATCCACCACATGACATGCTGCCTTCCATTCGCTTTTTGGCGGCTACCACGCTCTGTCTCGTCCTCTCCGCCTCACCCCTCCCCATGCCCCTGCTCCTGAGTGGACTTCCCTGCAGAAGCGCAAGTGCGACGGCAACGTCCCCTGCAGTCTGTGCATCAATCGAGGTCTGCTGCTCCCATGCTCCCTGGGAGACGCTCACGGCGAGCTGACTGCATGCAGGTCAAGCTGCCGCTTGTAATCGGATGGAGCCAAAGGTGCGGGCGAGACCTGCCTCGAGCCCCTGTGTTGGGGGGGTGGGGGGAGGAGATGAAGGCTCGAGGCTGTGTTGGGGGTGGGGGGAGGTGATG